GACGTAGAGCCAAGTGGCGCGGACAGGCCCGTGTGAGCGGACCCCGGGAACGCGGAAGGCGCAGTGTGGTTTGCCGTAGGGTAACGTCGACTAGGGGAAACGAAACGAAAAATAAGTAAATAAGAAAGTGGCTCCCCGCACAGCATCTCACAGCAGCATTACTTCGCATCACCACATCGCCCTGAATGAGGAAGGAAGAACAGGTTTTTGTGACGATAGCGATGCACATTAATTATTAATATTACTAAGACGTCGAAAATTAAGTACACGACATGGAGCTAAATGATCGGGATAGACGGATGAGGGTCAGACGCGAAATTTTAATGAACATTTAGTCGAAGGCAATCGACTACTGTGGAATAACCACGTCATGCTCATTCTACAAATAAGTAGTACCGCAAGTAGTAGTACAAATTTTGTATGAAAAATACGTTATACCTACTCCTGATGTATGTACTAGTTAAACACAGTTTTCATTGAAATTTCGGGTCTGACCCTAGAAGGTCATGTACCGATCACTTAACTCCATGCACATAATAATATCTGAAATTATTCCCTGCAATTCACATACAAGAAACCGCACAGATAACGCTGGGGGACCCACTGAGGAGCCAAACCTTTAGTTGCTGCGTCATGCAGAAACATGGGCGAAACGCGCATCTGGGCTTTTAGTGAGTACGTATGTCGAGAGTATGGCATAACTTATTTGTCATATAGAATTTATCCTACTTGTTTGTTGAATGAGCATTACCTGGTTATTCCACAGTACTCGATTTTCTTCGACTCAAATGTTCATTAAATTTCGGATCTGACCCTGTCCTGTTCACTTAACTTCATGTCATGCACTTAATAATTCCTGAGATTATTACCTTGATTAATATGACTTTTACTATTAGTGACGATGATCGTAAAGCAGTAAGAGTAGCCGCAGAAATAATAATAGCGGTTGTGGTGACGGCAAGGAAGAAAGCGCGAAAAGACAAGAGGAAATTGACAACAGAGATATAAAAAAATAAGAAAGTTAGTCAGAGAAATTACGATACTGATGACTAGCTGGATATCCACACGACACCACCTAAGTGTCAATGGACTGCGTGCAAAAATGTCAAGTCCATAACCAAGAGGACAAACTAGTTCGTCAAAAAACACAAAAGCCCTATCAATAGCATGAAAAAACATAGTGGCGAAAGTATTAATCGAAAAGGAGGTTATATCTCGCTTTCAAGCAGTTAAACTAAAATGTGAGCGGCCGTACACTGCGAAACAGCCATCTTTGGGCTACTTTTAATTTGCTATCACAATAAAACACTTTGAGATAAAACCTTACTCTTACGAAAGTTGTCGTTTTTGTTAGTATATATTGTGCAAAAAAAACAGATCAGGTGATGCAAAATTGCAAAAGTTTTAACGAGGCAGCAAGCAGCCTTGCAATTGTGAGACTGACTAAACGTGGACAAATACTCCAGGGAGAACGTGACAGCGGCCCATTGGGAGGCGATAGGAGGAATGCGAGCAGTGTGCGGACATTATATATTTACTTTAAGGCAGCTAAGGTCTGCTAGAACATGGCAGAGGAATAGAGGTAATTTGAAAACCAATATTTCAAAGGCGGGAGTCTATGAGCTTGAGGGGGATGGTTGGGCGGTCCTGGCACGGAATATGTCCTATTCCTCCTAAAACCAAAGGTTAAATACCATAGTTGACTATTTTGAAATAGTGCAGATTTGGTGTGGGCGCGTTGTCGCGTTGCGCATAATCTACGGTTCTGTGTGTGTGCATTATACCAGAGTTTGCAAAAACCACATCCGAAAACATCTTCTCCAAAAGTGTGCCAATTCTTGCAGTCGGAGGAGAATCCGGCAGTCTAAATCGAGCTTCACCGACGCCGTTACTCACAAATGAAATATCAGGTTTTGGGCTCCCCGCCTTTGTATGAAACAAGTTGGGTTGCACTCTGAGTAACTGCGGAAAGAAGACTACTTGTGAGTCTATCAGAATCTGAGCTTCACTCAGACCTGATTCCAGAGGAGAATCGGGGGATCTCATAGATGGGCATCTATCGAAAGCCACGACTTATGGCATACCCTAAATGAGACTCCCTCAAAAATATCGACAGGAAAGAAGCCAGGTAGGGGTATAGCATATGGAGAAATAGGGCGAAATTAGGGCTTACTTGAATCCGTGTCAGAGATTTTCAAAACATCGGCAAGAAGTCCAACGTGTGACTCAAGGTAAGTAACAAGCGGAAGACCCTCACTGCATGTCACAGCGAACTTAAAAGAATACATGGGAATAAAAAAAGTGAATTAGAAGTTGTATTCCGGCAGTCAGCAAGGACTTCTAATTAAAAACCAGAGTAGACGGAATAAGGGAGGTGTAAGAACTACAACCTACCAATAACAGACGATGGGCATGAGCATCATAAGGCCATATTGATCCGTGTAGGAACTGACGGAAGGTCTCTTCCGGGTACCGTACCAGAAAACGCACGAGGGGTAGACGCAGGGGACTGGTAAGCTCGATATTGAGAAGCTGTTCCATTCGAATAACTTGGCCAATCAGAATGCCAACGTATTTTTCCGTCGCCAGGGGAATTAGATGATAAAGGTCGATCAATGACGATGCCAGTTCGACGGGCTAAGGACAGAAGGGCAAGATTAAGTAGTGAAAAGGTGTAAACTATTCTGTTTAGCTTATCCTAAAACAGACAAGACCCAAATCAATCGTACACCTTGAGCGGAGAGAAAAAGGATGCATACCTGTTGAGACGCACCAAACTTCGAAACCGCCTCTGGGCGATTGGAAATCAATTCGACGAAAGCATTCAAGTGACACTAAAATGACAAAATTGCGAAAATGGCACGTTAAAGATAGAGAGCATTTAGGCACTAGAATAAGCCCAATTCATAAAGCAGAATGCTGAGACACAGCTCGGGTTCAGTGACGGATCTACTCTAAAAAACAAGATGCAGGCAGTCAAACCATGCTGTTTATGAGAATAAAAAAGGAAAGTTTTTGAGTAAAGGCTTGGCAGAATAATTGTTGGAGATTTACGGACACTTAGGAGGTAGATTAAGGTAAACGTGATAGTGTTGCCGGCAAATACAAAGAAGGCTGGGAGTCTCTCTTGTGTTTGCCGGCAGTGCTACCTGCATAGACTGCTAGCCGCTGTGCGGCTGTTGGTGGGGCTCGAGAAAGAACTTCAAGGTGGAGGGGGACGAATGAGTTCCGTTAATGATCGGTGAACGTTCAGCAAGGGACGTCAATAAACGTGATCTCTACAGCAGGCAGTTAGAATGATCTCATAACTTAAAGGCTTTGAATAAAGAGTAAAGAAGCGGCTCGGTGACGCGTGTAAACTTAAGATATGAATACAAAAGCAGTACTTTACAATACACGATGGATGACAGATGCAGGGCATATAGCTCCCTTCGGTCATAAGCATTCTGCTTTTTGCCGCCTCGCAGTTGGCGATGGCTTTGAAACGGATGTTTCAATAACGAATTGAATGAAATCATAATTCCGTGGCGGAGGCGCGACTACGGACTGTAGGATGTCGTACTCTCTGTATCCCCTAGAACCTACCGACAAACAGCATACCTACGTGACCCTGAGTGCTTCCGACGCAGCTGGTAATAGATAAGTTCATGTTTCCGTAGTAGAGATCTGAATGACAATCTTAGTTAGTTAGTTTTTATTATCATAAAAAGTCTATTCATTTGATTAACGTAGACAGGTTAGATTATAGTTAATTTTCTGCCTGATCTTAGAAAAACGCTTAAATAATTGGTTGAGGATGGGGTTAGGTATAGTTGGGGTAATTTTGTCTGCCGCAGACCATCTTACATAATCCACCCTTTTTAACCAGTAACCTTGGATTTCCCGTTGTTAACCTGCGCATATGTTCCTTACTTGCATATTTCATATTAAGCATCGGTTCGAAAACCTCATTCGAATAACAAAACAAACCTAGGTTAGAAATGTGAGTATTACCAATGCCTTCCACATATTCCGTTTATTGCATCGATCATTTGCCCTATTAATATAAAGTAATATTTTCAGCCTTCCCGTCTTACAGCAGTCCTTGTGTCCTATTTTCTCAATGGGCTTACATATTAGATCTTTGCTGAACTCGGATTCAAGTGCCAGTAACTAAAGAACCCGGGTTCAGACGCAGGACCTTCCCGGCCTAAAGGTAGGATATCAGCAGCGTTGGTCATCCCAGTCTCGCACGTGCATCCGTAACTGTATAGACGCACAAGTATGTAAATGTGGTCGAATAGTGCTAGAGGCAAGTGCATGGGGACTGTGAAGTCCCAAAAGAATCTGACTTGCTTAAATTCTCCAGCTTAGTTACTGACAGATTACGGTAAACACGATAAAGCACTGTCAAAGGCAACTGTGGATTTCCTAATATTAGCACTATGCTGCTAGGTTAACAATAGTGAGCCAAAAACAGAGGCATGATACTTACGTGAATAGCGTCACAAAAACGTTCACTAAAGGTGCTGGGAAACAGTTCGGCGCAGTAGGCTAACTGGCGAATAGTGGAAAGACGCAAGTTGGCCACCTGACGAATATTTTGTAAAATAGGCTTGACATAGGTATGTCGCAGCTCCAAATCGATGGTGGTGTGGCTGACAAACTCACGGATGCACTCAAAGGCTATCTTATGAATGGCTGGTGAGTCCGAACAGATGCCTAAAGTGAAAGAATGATAGATTAGCGACATTTTGCTTATGAAAAAAATTCACTACTAGCAAATACAGAAGACCCGAGGGTGGCTCAATCACTCTGCCAAAAGTCAAAGTATGATTTTGCTGGCAATGTGTGTTTGCATATTAAAGAGTTGGTTCGTATTTGGCCATAAATTGGAAGTTCCAAGTGAATGTTGAATTAAATATGCAGTTTGTGAAGATAGTTAAGAAACACGAAAGAGTTCACGGCGTCCAATGTGTGAGCAGACAACCCCTCGATATCCTTTCTATTTGAAGACGAATTGAGAGTGGGGGAGAGAATCCAATTTAATTTGTAGGTTTTTGGTTATATGAAACTAATCGCTGGATCAGTGTAGAGCGTTTGGATGCAGTACTTCTACAGAACAATGCTGATGTCGCCAGGTTAGATAAAATGTTCTGAAATGCCTGGTTTTTTTACTGTTACAACGAAGTAACGACATAATATCGAATCTCGTCTAGCGCAAAAAAGTCTCAGTCAAACATCCAACAACACAAATGCGCTTAGTAGTCTTTATGAATCAGGTAGTGGATGCTTCTCCCGCGGCCTTAAACTACGGCCATTAATTAAACGAGTCTTCGTGATCAGCAACAGTTTTGGGGTTTGAAGTAATTGGCAATTCGGAAGACTAGGTTGACGAGCGTACGCATGCTTTCGATAAATTCTCGTCGGGCCCATACGTCGGGTGGACCCCAACGAAGCCTTCCGAGTGATCTATAAGGTCCCACCAAACTCTCCAAAGTCCTTGGGTCAGCGCCTGCTAGCAATAGCAGAAGCGACCGCTATCAGGTTGATGAGTTCGGCGTTGTGTGCACAAAAGAACTTCCTACAAGCTCCGCAGCTGGCGTAGCCCATGGTCACTTAGCGACATGCACTCATCTGCGCTCTGTTTGCCTTCCTCCCCTAGACTGCTTCACCAAACCCTGCCCTCATAACCAGCCTTCCCCCGACTCATTTATACGAATAGACGAGTACGTTTTAACTTGTAACCCGTTCCTATATAAATGTACTGGCCTGAAAACAATTTATCGAAAGCATACGTAGGCTCGCCAAACTGGTCTTTTGAATTCTCTGATGGGAATTTTCGCAACTCTAGCTGGCTATTGGTTGAATACCGAAAGTGCTATCTACAAGCGGACTAGGGTCGGCCGATTACGGCATGTAAAAAATAGACGACAACAGTTCTACCGATTCTAACCTTCTTCATCGCCAATATCACTAAGGGCAAACTAAAATAACAACCAGGCAGTCAAATCTGCTTGTAGCTTGTTGGTCATGACTAGTAATGTGTTGAACAAACCCTCTACCTGAAAAAGGGAAGCGCCAGTGAAAGCAAAAAGGGCCACGAGTTTACGCAAAGAGAGAGAGAGAGAGAGAAAGCGTATAGAACCAGTCAGTCACCTTTGAAGAGTGCGGCTAGCGTGGAGGACTTTTGCGAGTCGATGTAGTGCGTGGTAGAAAGGACCCTGCAGGCGGCCACTTTCAGGTCGATGATTTGCTGTTGATGCTGAAAAGACAGCAGGGGTGGCTGACTGGCCAGCGCGTTGGAGATGCTTGCTGCACCACCACC